ATATTATTATAATATATTATAATATTATAATATATATAATATACATATATAAAAAAAAAAAAAAAAAAAAAAAACAAAAAACAAAAAAAAAAAACAAACAAAAAAAACAAAACAAACAAATATTATTATATATATATTATTATATATACATATATATATATTATATATATATATATATATATATATATATATATATATATATATATATATATATATATATATATATATATATATATATATATATATATATATATATATATATATACATATACACGGTGCCTTGCCAGAGCTGAACTTACACTTAACACGGATTTTTTCCACATATACGCGGTGAGTGTCCGGCTCGAGATGCTATTTTTAGATTTTGCCCACGCGCCACCCGCCCGCCTGCCTGCCTGTGCTCCTCCTCCTCCCTCCGCTTGGGCAAGCCGCGCGGTAAGGTTGCGCAGTGTGTGTCTTTGTTGCGTTATCACTGACGTCATATGACGTATCGGACTGTGATTGGCCATGCATCCCTACCCCCCCTGCTGCTAGCTGTAGTTGGCTTAAAGTATTATGACGTGACCACCCCGGGGAGGGAGGGAGGGAGGGAGGGAGGAGAGACGATGCTTGACCTCGCTGCGGCAGCTTGATCCCTCAAGGCCATCACGAAAATTGTGACCAAGTCCCAGGTTCAGCGCTGACCTGACTTTCTGCCTCATTTACACTGACAACACAACATTCATACAGTATATTATTTCTCACTTTTGATCTTTTTTTTACTTTTTGTATTTATTTATGGTTAGTTACTTTAAATAAGGCCAATTCACTTCAAGTAATGGCATCAAATGTTACCAGCTGGTGTAGTGTAAACACTAGTGACGTCACTTAAGCGTCTGTATTTAACTGTCAGTAGTTTCAAGAATTAATGCAGTCATTTACTGAATATTCCTTGTAAAAAAATAAATTTTAAGTATTATTATCAGTAAATATACCGATATGCATTACTGACCACCTCCACGGCTAAAAATAGCCCAATCTCGCGGTCACTTTCCCTTTCTTGTCTCCTCACTGGCAAATGGGGGGGGGGCGTGGGGAGGGGTGTGTGATGATAGCTGTGTTTATTACAGGGGTATAATTCTCTTTTACGGTATGTTAGACAGGTTTATTATACATTTTTATTATTTTAATATACCGGTAATCTTAATTTGAATCCAGCTTGCCAAACGTAAGTTTCAGTATAAAATAATTAGTGGTAAGACCTTGTGAGTGACTTACGATGTTTCCATCACCACTCTTGACAAACTAAACCACAATATTTAAGAGGTAAGAATTTTATACTTGGTGGTTTAGACGACCCCCTAACTTTGGGCAGATTTTTTTAATGTTCAAATTCCATCTTATAAGCCGAGATATACGGTATGTACGTATATATACAGTATAGTGATTTAAGGGCGATTTTGGGGATTTTTAGGAGTTTCTCTGTCTTTATGCATTTTTGGCTTTATTTTGCATGTACTTTTTCTGTGAGTTGGAACCAATTACCCAGTATCCCATTGAAATAATAGATTCAGTTAACGAAATTTTCGGTTAACAAACGACTCTGTGGAACCAATTGTGTTCGTTAATAGAGGGACCACTGTACAGCATGAGGTCCCTATATCAATCAGAGAAGGGCTTTCATGGACTTCAGCATCTTTCTCAGCATCTAAGTTTTTGAGACATTTTTAAAATTAAAAAATTCTCAAAGTTGATATGGAATTCCCTGAATTTTCCCTGACCCTTTCAAAACATATTTTTTCCCTAACCTGCCACAAAGTTCCATAACTCTCCCTGACCTGTGGCATCCCTACAATGGGAGGGTGTCAATAGATCACATATCCTCTTCAGTACTTTACCAGCTGCTGCAGAATAATGTTTAAATAATTAGAAAGCATGTTTATACATTTTTTTAAATATATCAAGTGCAAAGTAATATTCTTATTGTTATTACTGATACCCAATGAATCCCTTATATATCACTCATAGGTAATAAAAAATGCACATATTGCTCAAAAGTAAGACATACTGTTATACTGAACTTTTATAGAGCTCTTCCTTACAGCACTGCCCTCAAGCATTTTATGCCATTCAGTTAGGTACCACTGTAAAGTTCTACTTTACTATAGCAAATGAAATATTTTTTTTCTAAAATTCTTGGTAACTATGCCACACCTTAACTGAGAAGAAATGGAGCAGACTGTTTGTCAACACATGTTTGTTGATAGAGACCTGTAACATCCAGATTTCTGTGTGTAAGAGTTTGAAATAATTGTTAGCCTTGTGAAAATGCTTTGAAGTGTTGAGGGACACTGGGAAGCACAATTCATTGTCAATTGAGCTTATAATCTAAATTAGCACCTGGCATATCACTGGATCATCCTCTGGTGGATCATTCCCAAGTTTATGGGGCTTACTGTATACAGTATACAGGAATATAATCTTGCACAAACAACACAAAATACTCAAGGACTCAACTTACCTATTGGATGACCAAAACGTTCAATAAACCAAAGAAGAAAGTCACAGTCTGCTGGGATATAGATGTACCTGGAAAGATTAGCATATTTTTTTACCTCTGTTATCTTAACTAATAAAATTGCATATGAACTGATTTTTAGCCACAAAAAGATAATCACACTGTACAAAAGTTCAATGTAATCAAAATTTTACCATTTCTAGTAAATACAGTACAGTATTCTCCAATACCCTACAATATATTTGTGCAACTACTGTACTGACCATGTTAGCTCCATGCTATCAAAAGCTTCTCACTCATTACAGTAATCATTGTTGGTTATATTCTTCCAATAAATACTGTACACTTACACTGCCCATTTCATATTTTTTCAAGCAATTTTTTACCAATTAACCCTTTCAGTCTTATGCATGTACAGTTGACCACATAGGTGAAACAAATCGTGGATGAAGGAGACATCTGGCATCTCCTCAAGTTTGTAGGTGGTATTTTTTAATTAATGAATCACTCCGACCTGGCGAATTAAGTTGTAATGGAGGGAGTGATTGGTAGACATTTACAAATGACTGATTTTGACCTAGGGCTAACATATTTTAATTATACACATGATAATCAGTATGCAAGGCAGTTTATAATTATGATCACTGGGATTTTCTGACAACTTTTAATAAAAAGGTAGTCATGATTCAATAATTATATTTAATGATTCATGACTGACATGATTAACTCATTATGGGCATGAACTAACTTTAGAAAGGCAATATAATGTGACTAAAACAATGGCCAAATAATGGTATGCAGAAAAACCTCCCTAAGTCAGACTACAGTATACAGTGAGTTCTGCTACAACGCGTGTTTTGACAACGCGAATTGGCTCTAACGCGATTGGTGAATAGAGGAACAATATTTGTAAAACGCGAACTCGTTTGCTCTAACGCGATTTCACTCGAACATTTATGTTGTTATGACTTGGCGCAGGGTTATGCAGTGTTTACAGTTCACGTTGGACATCACATGTTCAATTGAGTTATGTGTTTTGTTTGTGAAGAATTGCAGAAATAATTTATGTAATATTTATGTATACAGTAAACCACTCACAAGGTCCTACTACTAATTATTTTATACTGAAACTTACGTTTGGGAAGCTGGATTAAAATTAATATTACCATTTGGGAAGCTGGATTAAAAATAAGATTACCGGTATATTAAAATAATAAAAATGTATTATAAACCTGTCTAACATACCGTAAAAGAACAATATACCCCGGTAATAAACACAGCTGCTATCATCACCACCCCCCCATTTGCCAGTGACAAGAAAGGGAAAGTGACCTTGACTGTGACCACCTGTGGCTATTTTTAGCCGTCCTTGTGTTCGGAGGTGGTCAGTAATGCATATCTGTATATTTATTGATCATAATACTTATCTCCTATAAATAATTCATTTAAAATTTATTTTTTTACAAAGAATATTCAGTAAATGACTGAGTTAATTCTTGAAACTACCGACAGTGGTAAATTTAGGATATAAATGATGAACAGAAGTCACGTCATGGATTCGGAGTTTGGTCCTTAATGATCGCCATAAATGTCTGGTCAACTTCACCTACCAGGTATAATGGTAGCCTCTCTTTTTTGCGAAACAAGTATATAAATTAAAGAAAATACTTGCAGTATATTTAATATATTACAGTATATTATAAATAAACAAATAAATCGGCAAATCTATTTCAAGTACAGTAAATGGAAATATTTTACTCACACCGCCATTAGTTCCAGTTAAATAACTGATGCTTAAGTGAGTCACTAGTGTACACCAGCCGGTAAAATTTGATGCCAATACTTTAAGTGAATTGGCCTTATTTTAAATAACCAACCATAAATAAATGCAAAAAGGAAAAAAGATCAAAGGTGAGAAAAATTATATTGTATGTATGTTGTGTTGTCAAAGGAAGAGAAACAATTGAAACTCTGCAAGTGTGTGTAATTGAGGCAGAAAGATAGATCAGCAACCTAAGACTTGGTCACAATTTTCGTGATGCCATATGGAAGTAGGATCTACCATTAGACAATACTGTACATTATGCTCCCAATATCTTCCCAGGCGGTAGTATCTCCCTGTTTGGTAGCTGCCTAAAATTTTTTGTAATATTACTTTGATACAACATGATAAATTAGACAATGAAAATAAACAAACAAAAGTTATTTACCAAGACCTTCTCTCTGAGAACAGAGGGTAATAGGTGGAGAGGAGATAAGAAGGCTATTTATAGCCTGTCTTTGTGTAGGAAGTCGACCGCACTATAAATAATTCATTTAAAATTCTTATTTTTTACATAGAATATTCAGTACATGACTGTGATTATAAAATAGGCCGAGATATAAGGTATGTAATATTTATGTGTGTGTGATGTAAACAGAGCGCTTGGCCTCTCTCTCTCTCTCTCTCTCTCTCTCTCTCTCTCTCTGTGTATGGGTGGAATTCCTGGTTTACAGTGAGTGATACGAATGTCATAACATTACTAGGCTGAAGGCGCCTGAATACTACAGGTTGTACCTCTCTAGTCCGGCAACCTCGGGACCTGACCGGTGCCGGACCATGGAAATTTACCCTTTTCCTGGATAGATAGTGACTTGTGCTTATGCCTGGAAGCACTAGCACCACTTTCTCTTCGTCATGGTCTCTTTGAAGACATATTGAAGGGTTAAATGTCGTATAGTAGCTTCTCAAATTTCGCGAGGTTTTAATTCTTAACGTATTTTATTGGAACACACAAAAAAATAAATAAATAAAAATTTTGACGGCGGAAACTTGAATTTCGACGGGTTTGAACGGCCCGCCAACGTGCAGACGACGTGCATAATCGTGTAAACAGCGTCATTTCTCTTATGTACAAAAGATTCATTATTGTTTATTACTGAATGTCTTTTTTATTGAATTAATGTTTATGTGTGCAAAATGAGCAATACAATTCATTAATAATACGTAGAATATTAAAACACACGAGGAAATGACACAGCATTGTTTTCGTTGATTACAAAACCAGTGACTGACTGGTTCTACATATAAAACTGAAGAAAATAAGACCTTGGTTGTAGCTGTAGTAAAATTAATATGGTTGTTTTAAGTAATGTTATTTAATGTTAATAAATGGAACAATAGAAGTAGCTAACGATAATGGTAAAGAAAAAGAGAGATCGCATATGTAAGTGCGCATGCGCACACGTGAAAACATATCGTCATTACTTTACATAAGAATATGAAAGCAACACTTATTTACTGTTCATATATATTTTAATTAATGTTTCTGAATTTGTTTTTATTGAATTAATGTACGTGTGTGCAAAATTAACAATACAATTTATTAATAATACGTGGAATATTAGAGGAGACGAGACGGCTGCCGGCATTGTTTATGTTAAAGCTTACGAAACCAGTGACTGATTGGTTCTACATATAAAACTGAAGAAAATAAGACCCTGAGTTTAGCTGTAGTAAAATTAATGTAAAAAATGAATATGGTTGCTTGAAGTACCTGTAATGTTATTTCATGTTAATAAATGGAACAATATTGTAGTGGACGTCTCCCCTACAACTGCGTAGCCGCATGCCACCTGCTACGTCTTCCCTAGCAACCAAACGAGCGGCCCAGGGGGGGGGGGGCGTCACCAGATGCCACAGTATCCTAGCAACGGAGCAAAAGACCGGCTACTTCCCGGGGTTTCCCACCATGACTCACGGCTGCTGTGTATATAAGCTCTGTCTCTCCATTGAGATTCATTCTGGCCTCTCTTCTTGAACACGCAACACCTCCTCCTCCGCCGCTGCCTGGCGGCCCCGCTTCTCCTCCGCCTGCCTGGCGGTCCTCGCTCCCGCCGGCGAGCATGGCGACCCACCAGTCCTTCTCTGAGCGTCCTCACCAACTCAGCTCTCGGTTCCTGAACACGCAACACCTCCTCCAAGCAAGCTCCTCGCTGTCCCGTTCTCATTCAACCTGGAGGCCAGCAACAGGCAACATCTTCTCTAACGAAGCTCCTGCACATCTACCTCCTTCAACACGCTACTCACCGAACGTGTCTACTGAGCAGTTCCTCACCACACGGCACCTCCAGCACCAGACTGTCTACCATATAACTTATATTATATAAGAAGACCACCTTAGAGTTTCCATCCATCCTGAGTGCTAGACAACATTATAACACGAAACCCTACAATATAAGTAGCTAACCATTAATGGTAAAAAAAAAAGTGAGACTGCTCGTATGTAAGTGCGCACATGTGAAAATATATCGTCATTACTCTACATAAGAATATGAAAGCAACACTTATTTACTGCTCATATATATTGAAGGGTTAAATGTTGTACTCTGTATAGACAAGCAGAGAGAGAGAGAGCAGCCGAACTGCCGGATGTAAACAAACCTTAATTTCCCGCGGCTTTGTTGTTGTTTTTTTTTAAGGGGATTAGCCCACCCGGGCATAGGTCACTGACCCACATTGGGGCCTGAGGGGCAAAAATTTAATACTCCTGTAATAATAATAATAATTCAGATAAGTAAAAAAAAAAAAAAAAAAAAAAATGCCTATCTACCTCTTGGACAAACTAAAATCGTTCCGGACCAAGGGAGTTTCCGGACCACAGAATGCCGGACTAGAGAGGTACAACCTGTACTTAAACACATCAAAACTATGTTAATTGATCACTGTATAATAAATTCATTCACTCCTAATTTCAAATTCCCTTATCATCCTGTGTTATACAGTATACAGAAATACTTGAGTCCCTGAGCGAGTACACAAAAAGAAAACGGAGGACTAAGACATCCGGAAGTGGATAGAGAACGGACATCTCTACTGGGGGACTCAAACGTTTCTTATGTTTTGTGGGCGCTGTAGCATAATATGAATAATATGTAAATTACAATTTACTTATATATATATGTAAATTGTAAAAATTTAAATAAAAGAAAAACTAAATACGTAGCGTTTAAAGTGTACTGTACAGTGTTGTGGCTTGGCGCGGGGTTATGCAGTGTTTACAGTTCACGTTCGACATCACATGTTCAATTG